TAGGGCTGTCAAAAGTATCGATACTTAAAAAAGTATAGATACTAAAATGTTGTATCCGGATACGATTTATTTATGTATTTATTTACATTGTTTATGATCATTAACAAGACGTTAGCCTTGAACTGCTAGCTGCGGCCAATAGCTAATAATACCATGCTAAAATTAATCAAGTGCATATCCAAGTCCGCCCACATGAAGTCGGCCATTTTGATTACGTCACCAATAGGAAGATCCCAGGCAAGAAAATCCTAATGGCTTCATGGCAATATAGACATTAATTTAAAAATAGTGAAATTAATCTTTCAAACACTTAATTAAACTCTATCCATAATGTTATGTTAAAATAGTGGATGTTAAATAGGTTTGTACAATAAGTCCAAACAAGTTTAACCAAAAAATATTTATTTCTCACAATTATGGAGGGTCAGGGTTAGGGTTAGGGTTAGGGTGATTAATGTGGGCCACCATAACATCAGTAACAGGTCAGTTTGAAATGAAAGACACTAACCTGTCAAAATTCAGTTAAATTTTGGGGTCTTTGTTTTTATCCTTGTGGTATCGAAAATGGTATCGAGTATTTTCCTGAGTATCTGTATCCAGTTGAACATTTTTGTATCGTGACAGCCCTATCTCAAAGACAGCAGAGACATTCGGCTTTGTGTTTTGCTGTTTGGGTACATTTGTCTGGATTTACCTGCACAAAGTGGCTGGGCGTCTCGCTGCAGATGGTGTTGATCTGACCGTTGACGATGGGGATGATCTTTGCCAGCGGCAGACTGACGGCAGGCAGACTAAACACACACACACATAAGAAATGCTCATAGATACCAAAAAATTATAATAAAATGCTTTGTAAGTTATATTCCAGCTCCAGTCCTTAACCCTATAATGCGAAATGTATCATATTTGATCTGGTTTCTGAAGTCTTTTGGATCTGAGACTTTTTGCATCATTCAGTGGTAAAAGCTTTGCTCAAACCCCTGTTGTACACATTCAGATATACCTGATAACAGCCAGTAGAAGACTACACCAACATATGTTGTTTATTTATTGCACGCTAATTTGATCAAAATAATTCCTGTTTTTTTTCTTCATATGTTGTTGAGGGGCCAAAGAAAGACTTCAGACTAAAAACAATCCAATATTCTTCCTTTTTTTCTCGGATCAGGCTTTAAAGGGTTAAGTTTCTAAATATATCTGTTGCTGTAAAATTACAAGAAAAACAGTAACAATAAAAAACAAAAAATAGGCATTTCTTTTTAAAGTGTGGAGGAATGGTGGTGTAGTGGTTAGCATAGCTGCCTCCCAAGCAGTTGACCTGGGTTCGATTCCCGGCCAATACAGCTCCTCTCTACCCTGTAAGTCGCTTTGGATAAAAGCGTCTGCCAAATGCATGAATATGAATATGAATATATGAATAGATTTTAGGAAGGTTTACAGATACGAGTTATATCGAACCAGTTCAGTGTGTCAAATCTGAATGGTGGATTCTGCACCTCAAACCCCAAAACCAGCAAAACGAAGCACAAATCTGACTCTTCCTCCTCCCTCTGCTCACCTATCAGACTCTAACTCCTCACTCTGCTCACCTATCAGACTCTTCCTCCTCCCTCTGCTCACCTATCAGACTCTTCCTCCTCCCTCTGCTCACCTATCAGACTATTAACATGTTTATGTTTATGCATTTGGCAGACGCTTTTATCCAAAGCGACTTACAGAGTAGACACAATATTACATTTCTCATCACTATGACAATAAGCTATATAGAACAGAAACACTGATCAGAATCAGTGGTGAGATAGAGATAGAGGTAGAGGGACTACAGAAGGAGCTGTGGGGGGGTATAGGTACGGGTTAGGATTAGGCTAGGAGATGCTCTTTGAAGAGGTGGGTCTTCAAGAGTTTCTTGAAGACAGACAGGGACTCTTCCTCCTCCCTCTGCTCACCTGTCAGGTGCTGAGCTGGGTGTAGAGTCGCCGGCGGGCGGGCGGAAGAACTCGGCCAGGTTGTCCAGGAGCCGAGAGAAGCCCCGGTTCAGACAGACGTTGAGAACGGTGCTGAAGTCTGGACTGAAGTCACACACACACAGACACACGGTGGTCAGCCTCCTGGCCACACACACCTGAGCCTTAGAGGGCCTTAGAGGGCCGGTACCTGTCCAGCATGTCCCGGGTCTCGTTCAGCAGGCGGATGGTCATGACGTCCTTTTCCGTTAGCCCGCACGCCTAGAGAGGGGGGGGGGCAGAGAACATGGTTACTCTCTGGTAGGGCTGTCACAATACTAAAATGTTCAACTGGATACCGATAGTGAGGAAAATATTCTATACTCGATACCACGAGGATAAAAACAAAGACCCCAAAATTTTACTGAATTTTGACAGGTTAGTGTCTTTGGTTTCAAACTGACCTGTTACTGATGTTATGGTGACCCACATTAATGACCCTAACCCTAACCCTGACCCAAAACCTAACCCTTCATAATTGTGAGAAATAAATATTTCTTGGTTAAACTTGTTTGGACTTATTGTACAAACCTATTTAACATCCACTATTTTAATTCAGTGTTTGCAAGGTTTATTTCACTATTTTTGAATTAATGTCTATATTGCCCTGAAGCAATTCGGATTTTCTTGCCTGGGATCTTCCTATTGGTGACCTAATCAAAATAGCCAACTTGGATGTGGGCGGAGTTGGATATCCATCCTTGGCTTCCTACAGACTTGACTAATGTTGGCGTGTTATTATCAGCCATTAGCCGCAGCTAGCAATTCAATGCTAACAACGTAAATAAATAAATAAATCAGAAGGGGTGGCTTTGTTTTTTCGTATTTTCCCCCGTTGGTGAGGCTGAATGTGGGCACCTGGTCGGCCAGAGCGTCCTCCCCGTTGGCCAGCAGGTACCAGGACAGCGAGCGGTCAGAGGCGGCCTCCACCTCGGCCCGGATCCAGCTCAGCTGCTGCTCCAGCTCCAGCAGGGACAGGCTCTGCTTCAGAGACACGCTGGGGCCCAAAACAATAGAGGGGGGGGTCAGAGTACGGAGGCATTTCATGTTTCTCTGAAATCTGGCTGACCAGAAAGCGAAAATACTCATCATATGGAATATACAGTGGGGGAAATAAGTATTTGACCCCTTTCTGATTTTGCAGGTTTGCCCACCTACAAAGAATGCAACGATCTATAACTTTAATCATATGTACATTCTAACAGTAAAAGACAGAATCCCAAAGAAAATTCCAGAAAATCACATCATATGAATTTATAAAAATTGATAACCATCTGATGAGGAAAAATAAGCATTCTTTGTAAGTGGGCAAACCTGCAAAATCAGCAAAGGGTCAAATACTTATTTCCCCCACTGTAGGTTTTGACCCTGATGTGTATTTGAAATTCATATACCAGTGTTTTACTGGACATTTCAGATTTTGTATTAGACTTGGCTGTTAAGCGGTATTGATAATGGATGGATGTTCTGAAAAAATACAAATAAAAAGTCTGACACTCACCTCCCAAGGGAGTTCTGTACCGCCTTCTTAATGACCGACATCAGCTCGGTCAGACCTGGGGACACAAAGCAGGAACTCTGTGATGCATTTCTGAGGCTGTGTGTGTGTGTGTGTGTGTGTGTGTGTGTGTTTTCTCTACCATCTCCGAGCAGATGCTGGATGCTGGACAGGTACTGCTGCTGGACGTCCGGAGGAGCCAGAGGAGTCTGTGAGGAGACACAAAATTAATGGATTTCCACCTAAACCCACAACTTCATTTCTTCTGAAACTAAATCCTCATGAGCTCTTTTCTACAAACAGTCTACGATCTGTTGGTTTTTCTGACTCAAACATCAGCTCTGACTGGTGTTTTTGAGGCCAAAGAGACAGAAATACAACTGTAAAAGTCTGCTTTTGCTTCTTTGCAGAGATAATATGAAATGATGGTGGAGGGACCCCCTCACCATTGCACTCTTCCCAGCAGAATTATCCAGGTACAGGTACCCCCCAATGATATTGAGCTGGACCCTCAGGAGAACGACCAGCATGCAGGTGCTGTAGACGGCCACGATAGTGCGAGTAAAGCCTGGATTAAAAAAAAAAGGGTTTGGTCACAGGGGATGACATAGTTGCCAATCTTTTTTTATTTGCAGAATAACTATCACTGTACAGTTTCCAGTTTCTTTGATGTGAACTTTAGACAGCAGAAAAGATCATTTAAACAAAAAAAACTTACTTATGATCTTCAAATCTTCCCAGATCTCCAGCTTATTAGCTGGTCTAAGAGAAAAACAGGAGAAAAAAAAAGCCTGTGAGCAATGTTTCATAGGAACACACAAACTAATGGAATGCCTATTCGACACAGACTAGCATATTTGTGATAAAAAATGAGGAGTGAACCAGAACTGAGTGTCACTCTGGCCGTACAGATACAACAGTGTGAGCTGTGGGGGTGAGTAAGTCAGGCATAATGTGACAACAGTAGTTTTGGTCCTTATTTTTTGATACTTTAGAGATAAGCCCTGCTCCTGAAATCACAGTATTTGGTGTGGCCCCTGCTGGGATGGCGATATCTGGTGCACAATCAGACCTCATTGCATCATCATCTCTATTGGCCAGACGTCTTATTTTGTGTAACTTTGGGTTGAGGATGTAATGGCACACTTGAAACTTGAGAAGTTAAGTTCAAACACACGATCGGGGGTTCAAACCAGAGATTTTATAAGGTCTGGCAGCCATTTCTAAATGATTTTAACTTAATTATTTTAACTTTTAACCCTGCTGGAAATACTTGGACTTAATGGATTCACAGGCTCTGTAACTCTGTAACTTGTCAGGTTTTTATTTCTTTTTTTTATTTCTTTCTTTCTTTTTTTGTGTTATTATTGTCACTTTATAATTCTTTATGTTGGGGTTGCTGTTTGGGGACTTGTTCATTGTTTTATAAGTGCAAAACCCAATAAAAATATTTGAATAATAACTGTCACAACAGTGAGAGAGACTTCTTCTCACTTGGTCTTCAGAAGCGCAGTGAGATTCTCTGAGTTCAGATGGGTGACGATGGCCTCTTTAAGGGGGGGCAGCATGGACAGCACTGTAACACACAAACAGAGGGAGCCCAGACAAAGCCCACGTTCAGCATCAAGTCCAACCCAAAAGCGCCGTTCTGTCGTTTTATCGACGCCGTTACCGGTCATGTTGCAGGTCCTCTGGTTGCTCTCAAAGTGGAACTGCCTCCTCGCCTGGGCTATGTACTCCGTCGCCTCCTTCTCCTGGATTTCCTTAATCTTCATCTGGGCATATTTACCAAGGAGGTACACTCCTGAGAAATGGAGACAGAGAACAGAGTCACACATATACAGGACATGATTCTCCTGTTTTCCTCTCAGAAACGTTTATATTTTGTCTGCTGAAGTCTAGTAGACTCAACTAAATCCTTCTTGTACATATGAAGACATGTGTGTATATTGATACTTTAAAAAATCTAATTCAATGGATTTGAGAGACAATTTTACCCCTTAAATACATAATAGTCACTGGATGTTTGACCAACTTGTGAGTTAGTTTACTTAAAAAAATTTGAATTAATCTGATGCATTGTAATATTTCAAGATCCGAGCTGTAGTTTCCATGAAGCCTTAACTATCGGTCAGTAATTTCACTATAGATCATGAACACTGAATTATTAAGGTTCCTTAATGAAGGGAAATAAGCATCCATAAATCCACCCTAACCCATCCATAAATGCATGTGGATATAAAACTTCAATCATGTGTATCTAAAACAGAGAATGACTCAAATATCACAGTCAATTATAATGAAGTCCCCACAGCCCACTAATGTTCAGAAAAATAGTTGTATGACTTTATTGGTTTGTTTTTGGATATCTCATAAACCCCTTTACAGCGTAATTATTTAGAAACTTTGATGTCAACTGTATTAAAGAGCATGCCGAATTATGAGGACAATTCATACGTTTACTGAGAACTTTAAAATGTATTTGTAAATTGCTTTTACAACTATTATTATTAAAGAGCACGCATTTTTAAGCTTTTGAAGCACGTATTTGCCTAACTATAATGCTCTATTAGCCCTGTTGCTAACAGGAGCTCCACTTACCTCCAACTACTGCTCCAGTGAAAATGAATTTCCTTTTGTGACGTTTAATAAAATTCCAGACAGACGAAAACATTTTCAGACAGAGATAGTTTCACCAACTTGACATCCGAAAACACTCTGTACTTTAAACTCTACGCAAACTCTTTCGTTAACATGTTTTCAAAAGAGTTCGGGCAGTTAGCGGCCGTTGGTACTATGCTAACTGTCAAAAGTGCCTACATACGTCCATCAAGCTAGAAAATGTCACTCAAACATCGATATCCGTTATTAATTTAAAAAATAAAATTCACGGGTTTAGCTATGGTCGAGGCGAATCGTGAAATGATTTTAAAACAGTCGTCTGCAACAAAAGGAGGGATTATGACTCAAACTATCAAATAAAAATCGTTAATGAGTTATAAACGCGTCGCCATGTTTGTTTTATTAAACATAATTCCCTTCACTTCCGGTTTAGAGATGTGTAACAGTTGGAATTGACGTGACTGAAACCTCAACAAGCGCGTGGTAACCTTTGGAATTGGTCCGTTCCATATTATCTTCCCCCTGTCGATGGTGCTGTTTGCTATCGTTACTTCAGTGGATTCATTTTATTCTTAATTCCACCAAAAAGGCTCAAATAACCGTTATAATCTGATCGTCTATTAATTAAAAAAATACCATGTCGACAGAGGAGGACAGCAAATCTGAGGTACAGGAAAGTTTTTTTCCAACTGATGAGGAAATCGAGAAGTGGATGTCCTGCGCTTTTGAAATGGTTAGTAAGCTGTTCAGATAAAATACCGTTTTTGTGTGTGTTTGTTTTGTTTACTGCTTAAGAAATCCCACTGGTAAAAGTAGAACATGCATACATTACATACACATATTAGTCCATATTACATAAAATCTATAACATTGTTATTACACGCATTATGAGCTGATGCCAAATATAACACAAAAATGCCAAAGATATCACAGTTTGAGAGA